AGAAAAACATCTTCCTGAAATGCTCAACTAGTGTGTAGTGCTCAGATGAGACTGATCACCAGAACTGATATCTGGAGGGAATTAATCTCCAGATCAGGTTATGAAAGACTTTAGATTGTCTTCCTCTGAAGCACGACTCTCAGATTACCTGGATGTTTCACTTAATCAATCTAGGTGGACAGATAATAGCACTCAGCTCTAAGCCATGGCATTCAGCTCTGTTTCATCTGCCCATGCCACACAACATTGTAATCCCTTAAACCTAAGTGATTCAGCTCTCATGTGAAAAATGCTTTGGGATTGACATAGGAATGATTATCCATTTGAAATTAGTTTCCCTGGGTACTATCCATTAACAGGTACAATTTTCTAGGCAGTCCAGAGAAGATGAGTAGAGAAAACTTCAGAAAATGTAACAGAAGTTAACTCCTAGGTTCAGTCTTTGTGCATGGAGAAGAGTGAAAGGACACAGAAATTTGTGCATTACGTATCTTTAACTTCATTACCTTTATATAGCTAACAAATGCTTAGAATAATTCATTGGCTTTAGTGGTACTTTGCATACTGAGAAGGGGCTTGTTTGGCTTTCATGAAACTCAACAAAGAAAAAACAAACTACTTTCACAGTGATGGAAAGAAGGAAGAAAACACTGCCAACAATACACGTGACTCAATAAATCAAGGGCATCCATTGCCTGATTTACCACATACTCCTGGGCAATTGCTAGCATTATTCTACTGGAATCAATAATTCTGCAACTCACTAAGGCTTGAATAATGAAGAGGTGAATCCAGCCCTTTACTGTCAACTTAATTATCCAAACAAACTAGGCATTTGGCAAGAAAGGATATTTCTATTGCTCCATAAAGACAAATTATGAAGGAATAAACAGGAACATGAAGCTAACATTGTTAGACTGAATAAAATATTGACATAAATCCTGAAAGTTTACCTTGCAATGTGCAATACGATAATTAAACTAAGAAAAGAAAGCTAAGCTCTTCTTTATGCCCAATGAATAATATGAGGATCTGAAAAGACACTGAATTTTCATGTACCAAGGCTATCTAAATCCATTTACTTCCAGAAGTTTTAACCACCTGTGAACACAATGGAAAGTATTTAAACTAATTTTGAGTTTTAAAATGCTCTTTTCAATTCCATGCCAATTATTTTGCAAATAAAGGAAAAAAAAATATTTTTGTCACAGGGACTCATATGGCATAAACAAAAAGAACCTGGGAAGGGACAGGTCTGTACATTAGCTGAGGCTTAAAGAATTAATCTTCACAGGCAAAAGGCAGCATACTCAACATATTAAAAAACAGCACACAATAATTAAGTGATGAAATTGCAGCAACTCAAGATTCAACACTGTGTTAATTCCTAAGTCAATGAATGAAGACAGTATAGGTTTTAAAATTTCTTTCATTCATTTTTTTTTCTCCTTTATGTGCCTATTTCTTCTGTGCATTCATATGTCCTAAAATAATTATTTTGATTTACACTTTTGTTTTCTGACTTTAAAAGCCTGAAATGCATCTTCTGGTATAGATGTCAGGGAAAGTAATTATCTTTGTGTTATATTTAAGTATTACAAAAAGCCTGGTTGGGAAGAAAGGAAGATTGACAACACACTGCCTTTATTAAATTATTTGCCTGCTCCCTGCAGAATGACTGGAATACCTGAAAGCACATACAGTTTCCAAGTGTACAGTCTACTCTTTTGTGAGATTACCCATTATAAACAGACATAATTAATCTTGAATAGATATATAAAATACATATACATACATATATAATCAGAGTTTTATATCCAGCTATTTTTTTTGCTGTTCTGACAGAGAAATACTGTCAAGTAACTAACTAGTGCATGATCAACCCAAAAAAGCATGACCAACCTAGAAGAGCTTAGGCCACCCTCCTCTGGTTTCTTAGCATAAAGACTTCTCCAAGGGGTCACACCAGGGTCTGTGTAGCCCCCATGTACATCATCAGAAATCTAGAAAAAAGCAGAGTGACAATTCTGGCATTTCCACTAAAATACCTTCCTGCTGCCTGGCAATTTTTTCTCTGATTTTCCATGCCAGAGATTGGATCTACATGGTGGACCTTCCTTGCTTCAATTTGTTCAGTCCTTTTCTGAATTCTTTACACTTTTGTACACAATATTCTGTGCCAATGAACTCGAGTTTTATTATGTCCTTAGTGAAAAAAAAATGTTGCTTCTGTATATATAGATTCTGTATATAACTGCTGCTTGATCCAGGATTCTGGCACAATTACAGAGGAAAAAAAAAAAAAAAGCAGGAGATAAAATTGCAGGTAAGCAAGATATTAGAGCCAGTGACTTTCACCGTCTTTCCTATTTTCTACAACAATTAACCATTATCAATACCGAAATGCTAATGCCATAAATAACTTCATTATCCTACTATATGGGAAAAATCTGTTCACTTCAGTGGATATCTTTATGAAATTCTCCTCTGCGTTTCACACGGACATGATGATAGCCTCACCATCATACCCACACGGTTTCGAGCCAGTGTACTAGATCTCCACTGTGCATTTCAAAATTTGAATTCCATCAAATACCGTACAGCCAAAATTGAAGCTTTAACCTTGGTTTACATAGGGCTAGGCTTTGTCTGGTCTAAGATACTATGGTAGAACGGCAAAAACAGTAAGGGGAAACAACGGAGGAGACAGGAATGTCATTTATATATTAACACATAAAAAAAGCATATGGAAACTGCATTTAAGGCATAAAGGGTGTGTAAAAGAAGTTGATATGACCAGATGGCTAAGGAGCAAGGAGAGAGCAATTCCAGGAACTGCAAGGGGAATAACAAACAGAAAAAGAGAATAAAGATTATAAAGCTCATACTGAATAAGGCAAATCTAAGGGGAATTTAACAGGAAAACTACAGACGTAGTTATGAAAAAGAAAAAATAAATAAATGTAAAAGCAAGTCAGCAGAGGTTTGAATTGAGCCAGAAATATGATTTCGCACCTGGGGATAGACTTCAGTTTTATGGTCTTGGCATTAACAATTTTAGAAGCTGAAATATTAAGAAAGATCTCCTATAAATATAGTAGCAGGATCTGGGAGAGCAGAAGGCAGAGACTGGCCAGAGAAGAAGGACGGGTCAAGGAGTAAGCTATATATTTAAGACTTTCAGAGATGGGTTCAGGGCTTGGCTTCCTCAGACACCAAATAAAGCATTTCCCTTTTTGGTGTCTTCATTTCCTGCTAATAAAACTAAGATAAAAATATTTCTTTCCTTTCTGTCTCATTTATGAAGACAGATGGCTCTTAAGGACTGACTGACAGATACTGATATGGTTCTAGTTCTGGCAATGAGGTCCTGATCTAGCTACAGACACAGCTGCAAGTCCCAGTAAAACAAATATTAGGGTGCCCAGTATTGGAGATGAAGTTTTAAACAATTAAACATTAAAAAATATGTATTTCATGTTAAATAAGTATAACACTCAAATTACTGAATTATGTACAAGATTTACTCGTTGATTTGGATTTATTCACCTTCTTGTCAGCCAGTTCCAGAAATATAACCTTTAGCAAAACCACACAAGGGCTTCACAAGGTGAGAAGGAAATGCTAATTGGTTTTATCCTTTTGTGAAACAATCCATCCAAAGTTAATTAGAATAGGTTTGCTTTTTCTTTGCAAAAATAATCCATAAGAAAGACTGATAGGCAGAGCAAACTGCGTCTTGCACAAAGGTGGTAGGATTTAAGTGATTTTGAGCTGTGCTCCCAGAACTCAGTTGCCTTCAGGCATCTATCTGGTCTTTCTCAGTAAATGGCATAATTAGGGCCTGAGTGTAAACCCCAGTGGTGAAGCCTGATAAGAAGTTAATCTTCTGGGCACCACGTGGGCCAAGAGAGATGTGCCAAAAGGTCCAATTAGCAAAGGTTTCCTGTCCTAGGCTGTGCCACAGCATTGCTCAGCACTGATAAACAGCTGCAGGATTTGCTTCCGAGGTGCCTCAGTTCAGCCGTGCACAAGTCCCACACACATCACAAGGGCAAACAGCTCAGTGCAAGCAAAGGGCACCACCTGCACCTTGTACCCACTGTGCAAATGGCACAAACACAGCTTTGTGAGCCAAACACAGCCACTTCTTCGTACACACAGTGGGACATGAAAATCCTATAGAAATAGGATTTGGGTTTAGGGGTTTCAGCTGCACTGGGTATAAACTAAGGCATTTCTCACTGAATTTAGGAATACTAGTGAGGGCACTTGTCATTAAGATCTACTCATAGGCCTCTTGAACCTGCTGATGGAGGCCAAGCCAGCAGAATACGGGTCAAATCCATGTCATCCCAATTTTAGGCTGAGGCAGCCCAAGACCTACCAGCAGTATGAAACCCAAAAACGTTACAGCAAGCTCAGCCCCCCACAGCCACGTATGAGAAAGTGAGAAGAGGGTCCTGTGTGATTTCCCATTGTCTGTACAGGAGAGAGGAGAAAGTTCCTGGCTGTTGGAAAAGTACCACAGAGCTGCAAAGAGTGATCAGAACCCATTCTCTGCAAGCCAGAGACTCTTTCTTTTTTGGGAGGAAAACACTTTCTTAAAAGCCAAAGGAATGCTGAGGCCCAGCATCCATGGACCCAACAAACTTCCCTATAGGGATAATTAAGAGCAAATCTCAGTTTCAAGAGGGACCCAGGACATGGAAACTGCTCCCGAGGAATCTGACTGGAGCCGCCAGAGCAAGCAATTGTGGGATGACTACAACAATGGCAGGAGTTAATAAGGATTAAAATTGTTTTATTAAGCAGGTTCATTAGAATTTACTTATTGCTAAACCTGATTAGTTGGAGACTGTCTCCGTGTTCTTACTCAGTTGCTGCCTGCTGCCTGCTGAATAGACGGAGGGATGCTGGAGAGATTATTTCTAAGCCCTTCCCCCTTCCCTCTCCCCTCCTCTTTCAGGACCACACTGACAGTCCCAAGGGAAACAGAGGAGAGACAGGGAGAGGGCAGGATCCTGCAGCTCTCACTCAGCATATTTCACCAGGAAGCCCCACGAGTCCAGGAGAGGAGCTGCCACTTAGGACGCTGTCTCCTTTGCAAAGGATCTATTAGTACAACATACATTATACCAACACATACAAATATTTTCCCCTTTCAGGGAAGAAGCAGAGAAAGAGAAAAGAGACTTTGATCTCCAGAGTACTACAGTGATTTTTTTATGTAATCAATACCATAAAATATCCCCAGGTCTTTCTGCTGGATTGTAACTCAGCCGATCAGTTTACGGCATGTATACTTCACCTGCGGCGAAGGCAGGCACTGGGCAGCTGCCCGTGGCGCGGTGGTAAGTAACTTTGGGGAAGTTTCCTTGGGATTTTTGTACTTCTCTGACTTGGGGTAATAACTGCCTGTGAATCTTTGGAGATTATAAACAAAACCAGGGATTTGTTCCTGAAAGGATGAAGAGGGGGAGGTTGGTAATGTGTATTTCAATTGCTTTTCTCCCTCTGAGCTGATAGAATACTTTGCTTTCTGTCCATGTAACAAAGTTTTCTGTAGGGTGGGCAAACAGTTCCCTGTATTTTACCAGTGATTTGCAGTGACTGGGTGGATAAGAACACTTGTAAACAGCATTTTACTCTTAAAGCATTTTACAAACATCTACTAGTTAATGCTCACAGTGCCCCGGAGAGGCAGGCAAAACAGGCGAGTAGTGAAAGGAAGAGGAATTACAATCTGAGCATTCAAGTTAAAGCAATTAAGAACTTCACATCCAGCTGACTGGCAGGTAATTGACCACTCTAATAACTATTAAGCAGCTTAGTTGAGTTAGTGTGTATTTAAGGGTTTATAGGAGCACGAGAGCCATGTGCCACCCACCAGAAAAGGCAGCGATCTAGCAGTGACCACGATGTGTTGAGAGAAGGGACCGATCTGTTCACATTTGGATTTGCAGGCATCCGACCCTTTGCGATAATTATGAATGAGGCTTTAGCTCTCCTCCGTGTCTGTGTGTTGCCAGACAACCAATGAGGCTGCCAAGGAAATCGCATTCACGGGCTGCAGATTTCAGGAAGAAGCACAGAGGTGACTTTTACTCACACACACACACTCGCTAATTCTGTGGTTTAGGAAAGTAGCCTGAAGCACCCTTTCTCTTGCAATAACTTCTGCTATGTTTTCTCCTTCTTCACCTGTCTTTTGGCTGACAGATAATCCTGGTCTGATGCCATTTCGGATGTCCCAGTGAGAACTCTTAGAGATGCCTATTCTCTCCGGAGGCAGTGACCAAGACTATAGTAACATTAGCTACGCTTCTTGTAATTCCTTGAGCCATTTCTTTCCTGTCTCCGTTGAAACTCCTTCTGTCAAAGGGGTTCATTACCAAAGAGCCAGGAGGATTTACCACCCCGATCAAGTCTCTGCAGTCGATCTAAAGACAGAGATCATGATAAATGTTGGAGGCATCAAGTACCTGCTACCTTGGAGTACTTTAGATGAGTTTCCCCTGACCAGACTGAGCAAACTTAAGCTTTGCAGCAGCTATGAAGAAATTATTCAGCTGTGTGATGATTATGATGAAGACACGCACGAATTCTTCTTTGACAGGAACCCCAATGCTTTTGGGATGATTGTCAGCTTTCTAGCAGCAGGGAAGCTGATGCTCTTAAGAGACACGTGTGCCTTGTCTTTTCAGGAGGAGCTGAGATACTGGGGGATTGAGGAAACCAACCTGGAGAACTGCTGCTTTCGAAAACTATTTCAAAAACTGCAGGAGTTGGCTGAGGTACGGAAAGAAGAGGAGCTCCGGAGGAGTAAAGAAGCTGCTTGTGTTTTGGATGAGAAAACCAAATTCGGACAGTTTATGAACAGACTCAGAGATATGGTAGAAAATCCCCAGTCAGGACTCCCAGGCAAAGTCTTTGCTTGTCTCTCCATCCTCTTTGTGGCCACCACAGCTATAAGCCTTTGTGTTAGTACAATGCCAGATTTAAGAGCTGAAGAAGACAGGGTAAGTAAGTCCTTTATAACTGATCTAAATATAGAATTAAAAGAAATTTGTTTGCTTTGCTAGGTATACATCATTAAAAAGATGAAATAGATACAGAAAATCCATAGCAATGAGGTTCAAAACTGCCCCAGTAATGAAATGCTCTGCAACAGAAAACACAATAATAGCTAAAAATCAGTTTCAAAATCACATTCAAGAATAATGTTAACAAAGTACTTCACTAACTGTGAGCAAAAATATATCAAAGTGTTTCTGGACAGAACAGATATTGCAGCTCTATAATACAGCATTGGTTTTCCTTCATAAAAAGCATTTGCTAGTGTAAGTTATAAACTTATTACACTGAGACTCAAACTCACATTGTGGAGTTTTCAACATGCTTTACTCTCATTTATAACCAATCTCTAGTTTGGACCCATCAGCAAAAGAAACGTTTTCCTATGACTGCTTTACTTTTAAAAACAGCCAGATGTCTTCCCTTTTGTTAACCAAGTCAAATCTTTCAAGAGGAAGGAAATATTCATTATTTTCTTCCCAGAACAATGTTACATTTCAACAGTTGCATAAAGATTAAAGGATAAGAGATACATGAACAATTTTCACAGAAACAGACTACTTAATGCTGGGCTTCCAAAAATCATGATTCCATGCTTATAGAACTTTATATTTGCCCACAAATATATGTATGTATTGTAGGAGTGATGCCAAATACTAGCTGAACTGCTAAGCACATATAAAGCCTTTTCAAGTAAATCATGCACAGTAATTCAGTGCAAATAAGTCATGTCTGTATCATACATGAATGATCTTTTTTATAACATTGTTGTATTTCAGCATGATAAATATTTGTTATTCTAATAATAAAATGGAGGAAAGTAAAAATCAGAAGTTATTTCAGATGTAGCAATGTTCAAATTTATCAAATAACCTTGGCTAGTCTGTTTAATGAATCCTTCACTTCATTTGCAAACTGTCCTTCCAAAAGTAGTGAGCAAAATCAGATTAAATAAACTCCTCACCCCACTAAGATAAGACACTCCTCAAAGTACTGCATATTAATGAATAAAATCATTTTTACATTTGTAGAACAGCATGGTATATGCAACAATACATATCAATTTTATTTCCCAAGTAGTAATTCAAAGCAGCATAATCATGGTGAGGATGTTATGATATTTGATGTCTTCCAATAAAGCTAAGGACTGTGCAGAAGGCTTTAATTCCCTGTTCTATTTAACTCCTTAAATATTAACTTATATTTGCATGGGAAAACTATTACCTTTTAGTGATAAGTCTGGTGCTCTTGCAGACTTCCACAGCTATTACTTTTGGCAGAAAAAAATGTTACCCTGTTCCAATGTTTCTTCCAAGGAAATATTTTAAATATAGAATATCATCTTAGAGTTAAATGCAAAAACATTACAAACTCTGCTCTAGGAAGTGCTTCTCACTAACTTTGTTAATGGAAGCAGTCTGATGCATTTAATTTTCATTTTCCAAGCACTGTAGGAAAATCTTTTGTAAATACTTTTTTTTGAAAAAAAAAAAAAAAAAAAAAAAAGAAAAAGAAGACATAATCATATCTCAGGTAGATGAAATATGTTATGTGTTTTTGAAAATAATTAACCACATTTTAGAAAGGGAAGGATGTTCAGGTTTGTAGGTATATCTGCTAGCTGAAGTGTAGTTGCTGTCCCTAGACTTTCTATAAAACACTGACAACGTTACTCCTTAGATATTGACATGAATATACTTTAAAAACAAGCAGACTGGACTAAAACAAACTCAAAAGTGGGACTGCTTAACGTGCAGGGGAAAGGATGAAGGATGAACCTGGGCAAAGGAAAAGCCTTGTCCAAATAGTTGGAAACATCACATAATTTATACTTACAACACCAGACTAGTGCACCTTGTCAGTGTGTCCCAGAAGCATAGAGAAGAGTATTGAAAGTCCTAGGATTTGAACCATTTAACACTATGCCAGTGAAAATATAGTGGAATATGTGGGACAGAATACTCACACCTTGTGGAAAAGCACAGAATATGAGCTGCCAGATATTTCCCATTCCTACATTCTCAGCCTGCAATACTTAAGATTTTATTAAAGGGATTTCTAAAGAGCATCCCAACTATAACTGAAAAAATAACTCACAGAACTTGATTAAAAATACTACTTGGTTGTGACCAAGTCACACCCAGGGGAAACTGCAAGTCTGTACTGAGACTTGGTGCTCAAATTGTTCACTGGTTGACCTCTGAAAATGACCCACAAAATGAGGCCACATTTACCAGAAACCTGGTTACAGGCATGCAACACCTGAAATCTTGGCACTGGGGGCTGAACTTAAAGATCACTTGACATCCTTTTGCCCAGAGACAAAAAACAGTCAAACTCCTTCAATCAAGTTTCTGCACAGCCTGTAATTCCACACCTGACCCTAAAGATGCCCCATTCTGAGGTTTATTCATTTCAGAGGTAAAGTTTGACAAAACCTCTATGCATAAATGTGCGGAAAGTATTTTAAGAATCCATATTCCAATGTCATTAACACTGGAAATAGAATTTATCCATTCTGAAATACAAATAAAAAAGGCTTTACCTCTGGCGAGTATGTACCACTGTAGGCTCCTTTTTCACATCATCACTGCCACACTAAGAGAGGGAGAAATGACTGGGTTCCAGCTCAAGGAGAAGAATCAGGTTTAAAACGATAAATAAAAAAAGGAAAAAAAAAATAATACAAGGTCACTTCCACTTTACTCAGAGGCTTGGCTGATCCCACCCTGCAGGCACACAAAATCACTAAATCACTTGTTCTTTTAGCAGCTGCTAAGCCAGAGCTGGCTTAGGAGGAAGAAGAGCTGCCCAGGCAGGCAGAAGAGCAAAGAGGAGTCCTCACCACCCGAGGGAAAGTGAAAAGTATGGTCTCTGGGAAAGGGATGGCAAGGAGCCAAGGCAGGAGCATTCGCACCAGGGCAGCCCAGTCACCCTGGCAACCCGAGGGGAGGGAAGGAGCCGTCCTCATGGGCAGCAGAATGGGGAGGGGGGGCTGGCCTAAAGATAGACATCCAATGGAAAGCAAAATATAGAGCAAGTTACTAAAATTGACACCACACACATCCCCGAGAATAATCCAGATGACATTTAGGAATTTCCTCTTTAGAAAGATGAAATAAAAACAGAGATAGATGAGCAAACAATTTGGTAACTATATATCATAAAAATATGTGATGTGAAGGGAACAGCCCCAGGCAGAGGAGGTCAAAAGTTTGGGAAAACTCTAGAGAGGTAAAGTTGTGAGGCTCTAGTGATTTCAAGTTTAAAGCCCGACTGTGACGCAGGTGTGTAGATGAATCTATCATACACACTACTAAGGAAAGACAACAAATTAGGCTATCTGCATAAAACAACTGAAATTTCATATACAATATTCATACAGCTTTGCATAGGATATTTTCAGCTATTCCTTATGGAGGGCAAACTGTCTTCAGTAAGGAAGCAAATACCGCATCACTAAAATGTAGTAATGAAGGCACACATGTAAGTAGAGGTAAAAAAGAAAGCATATTTGGCAGCAGGGAAAATAATAGTTTATTATTGACCCAAACAGGTAGCAGCTGTAAGCCTGAGAGAACTACAAAGTTGAATCCTATTTAGGATAAGAAAGCTGAAGCAACAAAATCTACATTTTCCTCAAACAAAGGAATTAAGATGAGTCTGGTAGGGCCCAAGCAAAAGTCCCATCAAAGTCCCCCCAGAAGTCTCAGTCCCACATAAAAATTCAATCAGGATCCAGGGGGTATAACTGAAATAGGCAATGCCCAGCACATCTAATCCAAAGGGAAAGGGAAAAAAAAAATCTTTACACCAGTGAATTATGGAACAAAACCAATGCAGAAGGGAAGGAAGATTATCTACTTTGAAGCACTCTTGGGATTTTTTTTTTTTTTTTTGAAGAGATTTCTTTTAATGAGTCCCTAAAATTGGCATCCTCTGGAGAAATGACTCAGCAGAAAAGGTACAGCAAGGACATTTCTTCAGGAAAGGCAAGCAAATTAGGGTCAGGGGAAAAAAATATTAAAAAAAGAAAAGAAAAAGAAACCTCAGATATTTCCACTCCCTTTCCCTCAGCACTGGTGACAATGATGTCTTTTTCTCCTGATGCAGAAGGCTCCAAAAAGTTACACTTATATGACATCTCAGTTAAAGGAAAAGGAAACATCTATTTTCGGTTCTCCCTCTGTTCTCCAGTGATAAGTGAGTGGTCCGACCTTGTTACTATTCATTTTTATGTCTGCTCTTAAATGATCTTGATAGGCCTGTAATTGCTTTAGGTATTGTATATAAGCTAATGAAAGAGAACCAACATACAGAACAACCAGTATTGCCAGGCCTAATGAGTTTATCTTGAGACTTAGTATATTCATTTGCTGAAGCTCCAGTTCATGAGGTCATTTGATTACATGGAAATCTAACTCATTTTAAAAGACAATGTTTTTGGTCACTGATTATACTGAGAATCCAGAAAACATGAACAAAAGAAGAAAAAAAACCCACAGAGATATATAATAAACAGAACCATTTCTAAATACATATATATATATATTTCATTCTACATCATTATAAGAATCATAGAATGAATCCCAGAATGGTTTGGGTTGGAAGGTACCTTAAAGCCCATCTAATTCCACCTTCCTGCCATGGGCAGGGCTCCCTCCCACCAGCCCAGGCTACCCCCAGCCCCATCCAGCTTGGCCTTGGGCCAGGGATGGGGCACCCACAGCTCCTCTGGGCACCTATTCTGGAGGCCCTGACTTAGGTTTTTCAATGCTTGATGTTGCTGCTGCTGTCTGTATCACTCTGAAAATGGCCTATTTGGCTTGTAACCTAGAGGAAACTGCCGAGAAACACATTTTCTTTAAAAGCGGCGTTAGAGTGGTTTATAGGAGGAAAAGCAATTTATTGGTCTTCCTGTGAAGAGAAAGAAAATCAGACAAGA